ACATACTCTCTCTCTTTTTTTTTTCTAATTTGGTGCTAGGTGAAACATATCGTACATGTTTTATATACTATATATTTTATCAACATGTATTAATATATAATTAATTAAAATTTATTTTGTATTACAAATGAATTGGAGCTACTAAAAGTACATTGTTGTATAAATCTATACAAGTTGTATTAGAACTCTGATCGACTTTTTTTTTACAGATACAGAAAACATCAGATTCGTTTTTGCAGCAGTGAGAGACACCATTCTACAATTCAACTTAAAAGAATACAATCTGGTTTAGATGACAATATGTGAAACTCTGAATAGACTCAAGAATTTTTCTTATATCCTGACCAAGGTATCAGTGTGAACTCTGTTAAGCTATAAAAATGGAGAGGATAAGCAGAAGGAAAATGAAAATAAACAATAACTTGTGGTGCCATCAGCATATTGTCGCTGTTCCATTACAAGTGTACCAACTATTAGTAAAATTAATGGGAGGTAACAGCGATGAGCGAACATGGACCTAAATCAGAGCGTTATACGTTCTTTCCTAAACCTTTTCACTATCAATACCAACAAATTGATTTAGTTTCGTACTCTATTTGTTGAATTTGTTACCTTTTTATAGATTAGTTTAGTCAATCATGCCTGGCTGACTACATAATCGTCTGATTTTTATATAACAAATACCAACACATTAATAAACGTATAAGATATAGTGCAGCCATGCCACACAAAGTCACTCTGTCCAAGTGTTTATCTCAAGTCGAGAAAGATCTCAGCGTGAAACTGAAAGAGAAAAAGGACAAATGCTTTTTAATCACAATTAGTCGGTGACACAAGTGAGAGTAATTCTAGTGCCATTTACTAGTGTGGTGTTTTTATTGCAGTCCTTTCTTAGATGCAAAAAGCCAAAGCGTTTTTTTAATCTGTGCCAGAAGCGAGTAAAGGTTTTTTCTGCATGTGACTCAAATTCATAATTCATCGTATAAATATTGTTATATATAATATATTAAATGAAACATATTAACAAATTATTAGAGAACGACATCTGTTTGATGTGAGTTTAGGTAATTAGGAGGCAAGAGATTGCAGATTATTCTGTCATCTCTCTTCTCCTTAGGCTGTGTACAGAATGTGAGGGCTGCGATCTCATGCCATAAAACTATAATCATACAATTCATAAGTGACACAAAGATTCTTAATTATAATAATGGCTTTCCTTTCATCCAGCCCTCGCTTGTTGGCACAGCATTGCATTGCAAGGGACATGGTTTAATAACATATGCCCCTGGCATGCATTGTATCCACATTACAGTGTATGTATGTATGACCTGCTCACTGCCTGCGCTTGCTCATGCTGGCTAGCGCGCTGCCCACTGCTTGTATTCTCTAATGGATCAACCGACTGCTGTTTTTACCACCTTTCAAAGTTCCACTGTTAGAATACTTGTATAAAGGTGGGAGAAACTGCTTTGCGTGTACCTAGAGAGTACATGCAAAATTTTTACAGTGTTGGTCAGACTGGTACATTAGAGTACAACATGAGACAGATATTGTCTATGTCTAATTGTCTAGCTCTGAGATCAATAACACTGGACGCACACTGGGCAGCAAATGTCATACCTACTTTGGTTGAGACACTGAGTTTATATGAAAGAAAAAAAATATATAAATACATTGGATAAAATATAATATTAAGAGATAATAACAAATAATATTAAATAATAATATTAATATTGAATAGTAATAATAATAATAATAATAATATAATAATACTGCTTGATTTTCAGTGAGAGTGAGCGATTCAAGTGAATGAGTTGCAAGAACATAAAGAAAACAAATGCGTATTCCAAGTGCAAAACGATGCTAGTGAGAAAATATGGTAGCATAAATGGGAGTGAGAGCAAAAGAGAGAAAGGAAGAGAGAGTGAGAGTGCGAACTTGATATACTGTATGAATGTAAAATTTTAACAGAAGATGAAAAAACGGTTGAGACAGACTTTCTGTGGTCTGATTTGAGAACGAACGAGTGACGTTGAAATTTGTGGCTATAGTTCATTTGTAAATCATTTTTTGTCAAAAGTATACATTTTTCTGAAAGCATAATATGTTGGGTATTCTTTCTGTGTGTATAAAATGTAAACACCCACCAAACCTAAAATGAAATCAATGTTTCTAACTTATTTATAATAAATAATACACATTAATGATAAAAATAAACGCAGTTTGTGACAGTAGTATTGACGCATGGTACAACATTCACCTCAGAACATTAATAATCCTTACGTTCAGTGATAATCCTTATTCCCATTTATGTTATTCGCTAAGAACACGTTTAATTTTACTTTACAAAGGAAAAACTAATTTATATCTTGTTTTCACTATGTAAAAACTTGTTATATTTTATGAAAGAAATATATTTTCATTTAAAGATATGTTTTGAAATTTGTATTATGACTGTGCATTCACAATTTTGTAATTAATAAAGCAGCACTACGTACTATTATTTAAAACGTAGCATAGATACTTTTTTATGTATTAATCTTTGTAAATAAAGATGAACGGTCAATTTCTTGATTATATAATGTTTTTATTTCTTTAACTATAGTTACTTTTTATTCAAAAATATTATTTTGATAATAGAAATTAATGAAAATTATATAAGTATCTAGAAAATGCTTTATATATTCTTTGCTATAATACGAACTATAATAATAAAGAACAGATTTATCTTCTAAAGAACAGATTGAAACACTTACTTCGTCTGTGTTTCTTTATGAAAGTCAATGCGAAACAATTGAATCTAAAATGCATACAATATAATAATACAAGCTATGGGCTTTTTCATGGTAAGTGATCAAACTACTGCACGCATGTTTTCGGATTTTTATTAAATTTTGTAAACTTGTAGAACTGGATGTTTCTGAGTTATGAGAGTTAAAAATTTTAAAATATAACACGTTACAGTCTACTTTTTAAATGGTTATAAACAACATTTTAAATTTAGAAATAACTTCAAGGGAGAACACGGTTAGGCTTGAAATTTAATTTGTAGTTTGGAAAATAGCTCCTCTCAATATCACGTAAATGTATCACGCTAGAGTATTGATAATTGCCAATAACATACAATTTTATTGTTGAGTATGACTCACTCATCTTAGGAGACAGCAGTGTATCACGGTCCATACAATCCCCGTTTTATTACTTTTCTTCAAACTATCTTTCGAAAGTGCGTTTTTCCTATTATAATTGCAATTCGAGACAAATATTTTACTTACTTTAAGTATATCTCTATAAAATAAAAAAAATGAAAATATGATGTCGTCAAAAGACAAATTAAATTTGAATTGAATAGCAAAAATGTTAAAAAGCTTTTGTCATTGCAGAAATTTATGGAAAATGAATTCCCTATAAAAAAAGAACTGATCCTTAACGATTTCAGAAAATTATACTTTTAATTTTTTAAAGAGCATCCAGCCACTAATATAGGGTTCTCGAAGTTTGTAGATTTGGGTTTTTGGATTCGAAATATGTAATGTATTTTGGCAGGCTTGTTCAGTAGTGACCTCATTTGTGGGTGCAAACTCTGTGTAAACATCAAATTAATTGTAAAGGATGCAAGAAACTTAACCGTCATACAAAGAGTGAACCTTATTTTTCGTTCTTCGATTCTTTCCGGGACACCCCCAAATATAGCTTATAAAAATAGTCTGTGAAATATTTTCAATCGATTGGATTACGAAGTTAAGAATATGTTATTTTTTTAAATTGTTTTTCTCCACAGTATAGTACTTACACCATGAATATATTTAGATCTTACATTTCATACATCGTTGAATTTGTCTCTTTCCATACTCTATGCTGTAACTAGGTATACGGAAAATATATATAATAAAAAATTCAAACTAGTATTTACGTTTTTGTTTTGTTTTTACGCAGTCTACATTTAACGAAATGAACGACTAAATAATCGAGAGACGAAAATAAATGGACACCTAGCAACAACGCTATTGCAACGCAAGAAATGTAAACATTGCCTGTGAAATATTCAAAAAATGTCGATAACAAAAGAAATTTAAAATCAAGTTCGCTATTTAATTGTCTCGGACTGCCGTAAAAAATTAAGTTACTATGTGATGTCACAGAAGTATAGTGTTTCTGTAAGTGCAATAAAAAAATCTATAAAAAATATTTTGTACAATGTATCACGGTGCAAGAAGACCGTCGTATTGTCCTCAAATGTCGACAAGATCCAACAATTCTGTCAGAAAACATTTAGGAGTAAACGTTTCAACAGGAATAATAAATAGGAAGTTACATGAAGCTGGACTAGTATGCCACAAGGCTAGGCGTAAATTATTTAATATAAAATTGATATGAAGAATCATTTGTCTTTTGCGAAAAAAATATATGCCATAAATAAATATGCCATTGTCATTTCGATAAAACATAATAAAGATTGATGAAAGTAAATTTGAGTTGTGGCAATTGAAAAAGAAGTATCAAGTTTGGAGAAAAAAAATGAAACGTTTATAAAATCGTTTATTACGCCTTTCTTGAAACAGTATTGCGAAACTGGTACAAATTGTTTGCATAGTGACTGCGGATAGGTATATCAATATTATAAATGAGAATTTAGAAATGGCAGCGGTAAAGACTCAACAACGAATTTTTGTTACAACAAATTAACGTACTGAAACATACCACCAACAAAACGAGAAAACTTTTTAAAGATTCGAATATTCCATTGTGCAGGAATGTGACATACGCGAAGCCCCGACTTGAATCCACTAGAAAAGTTATGGAGCTTATTGGATAGCAAAGTATCATTGGATAAGAGAACCAACAAATCCGGATTTTTTAGAAATTTGCAGTCAGGATTTGAAATTATCGAAAAAGTTTCCATTAAAAATGTAATAACCAACATTCCTAGTTGATTACAACCTGTAATCTAAGCAAAATGTGACAACACAAAGTATTAACTTTACTGTATATTTTATTTATCATGTAATCTATTATGTGTCTAGTTATTTTTTTTTGTCCCTTGGCAAATAGCTGATTATTTTAAAAATTATGTCCATAAAAATGTGATGATTAGTTTGAACTTCTCACTAATTAATCTGTGTATTATAAGAACACAGAATAAATAAAATTTAGATTTATAATAATGCAAGTTAGATTAAATTTCTCCCCTCCTGTCCATTTAGTTTTGTTTTCGACTGTATACATATATATTTATAAATAATGAAAATATGTAAACAATTTCATTCATGTGCCTTTACATTTTATAGAAGAAAACAGATTTGAAAATAGTAATGAAATAGTAATGAAAAAATAGTAAATAGTAGAAAAAATAGTAATGAAAATAGTAATTCCACGCTATATTGATACCTTTTCCCTTGATATCTTGGATTTTGTTGAAACTGAAATATGATATAATCTACGTGATATTAGGATGGAGAGTTTAAGTCATTATCTCGTTCGTTTCGAATTTGTTTAAAAAATACAGGCTTCTGAAATTTTTACGATTTTTCGAAAATGGGTGGTACTTAGAAATTTTTATCTCGGAAACTATTGGTTGTATCGAGATGCACTTTTTCATTGTATTTCAGAAGAATCCGCGTTTCTACATAAATTTTGATCTGATTGAAAAATTGTTTTTACTATGTTGAAAATTATAAACAAATTCTTATTTTTAAAAATACGGGTTCGAGGTCGCGTTTTTAAAAAATCGAAAAAATAGTAGTCTATTTCTTGGAATTTTCTCTACAAAAATATGTGTTCCGTAGGATGGTACGATACATATTAAAGTCACAGTGAAGTACCGAATGTGGCGGTGCGCCCCGTCGCAGGTAAACGGACTGTCAACCTATATTATTGTAATGAAGTCTAAAAACATAACTGACAAGGCTGACAGCCGCCTAGATAGTGTCATTTATATCAGTAGAATAATTTTACTAACCCACCCTTAACCAATGATAATAATATAATAATGACAATAATTTCACTTGTCAGTACTAATATGTTCGTTCGTTTAGTATCCGTGAAAAAGAGTCATTGCTCAATAAAAACCACGGAAAGGTAGTGGGTTTCTTTCATCAGGGGAGAATAAGGATGAAACAAGGAGGATAACAAGTATGGGGGTTTAAATGTTGTGGTGAAGGGTTACGAGCAAGGAGGAACAAGTTTTGCATAAAAATTTCTATGGAAGCTTCTAGTAATAATGATAGTTAATGTTGCTGCAAAACGAGCTTGTAAGTTAGCAGAATGATTTTTCTGTTCAGACTGACTTACGTAATCGAAAGAAATATTTGTAAAGGATATCCTTGCGTATTTAGATAAAGCTCGAGGTATAAGAGTCTGATTTCCTAATGGCCTTTGTAAGCTTGTACGTATTGCAAGTCTTTTAACAATTCCTCTAATTTTGTCGCATGGTCCTTTACCGTGCACTGTTGCAAGAAAATGCAATTCCGCAACAACACCAAAATTGCTAATGTGATGAGTTAGGTTTACAATTACTTATACAATTTTTTCTATTTTTATATTGCGATGCCGTCTCATCAGAGGATATCGGACAGCAGGTGTAGTATTCATGTGTTCCCCGTAGTCCCTGCAGAATTGTTGTAAAAAAAGATTTCATTGGCCAAGAGTCTGTTAGTAAAATTCGTCTGCCGATATATATGACACTATCCTGGTGGTGTATGACACTATTACTATGACACTATCCTTGCGAATTATATTTTTAAACTTCATTGCAATAATATAGGTTGACAGTGGTTCGGTTCACCGACAGTCTTAGCGGAGCACACTATCAGTTTGCTTGCGACGGGGCGTAAGCTTCGTTACCGTTACCTTCGGCGCTTCACTGTGACCTTAACAGTTCGCCAGTGGTGCCAGGTCATTTCTGATAACAAAACTTCTACATTTTATTTGATAATGTTTGAGGTACTAATTTAGCTTGGATCAAATGTGGCTCGGCACCGCCTTCCGACACACCATCCGACCGTCCGCTTTTCGACTGTGTTAACATGCGTCGCACCATCCTACGAAACACATATCCCTGTAGAGAAAAATTCAAGCAATATGGTAGTATTTTTTTCGATTTTTTAAAAACTCGACCTCGAACCTATATTTAAAAAATAAGAATTTGTTTCTAATTTTCAATATTATAAAACAATTTTTCAATTAGATGAAAATTTATTTAGAAAGGCGTATTCTTCTGAAGTGCAATAAAAAAAAGTGCATCTCGATACGACCAGTAGTTCCCGAGATAAAAATTTCTAAGTACCACCAATTTTCGCAGAAATGGGCGGACATTGTAAATTTCAGAGGCCTGGATTTTTTTGAACAAATTTGAAACTTGCAAAACGGTGATTCCCCCCTCTTAAATATCACATGGACAAAATTCCAGACATCGAGGAAAAAGTGATCGATTTGGCGAGGAATGACCCTAATATGAGTTCCTACATGTAGATTAGATTGCATAAATACTGAATATAATATATCATGACACAGGGATTACAGGAAACCAAAAGGCCGATCATACGGCAAGAGAGGCAACTGTGGTTGCAGATACATAGATGCAGAACAGAGTGGTACAATTGATGCTCCCATAAATTAAAAATCTTTCAGATAACACATTCAAAATTCATAAACACCGTTACAATTTAATAAGGATAGAACAGGTTGTTATATTCAGAATTAAAATCGGCCATACGAAAACCATCCACTTTCATATTTTATTACAGATCCCAGCACTTATCTGTACCAACTGCAACGTAATAATCGCAATAGAACATTCACTTCTACTCTACCTGGAAAACAGAAACCACCACGAGCACTTCAAAATCTGCCCAACATTGAAGAGAGAGAGAACAACATATCAGATTATAATATAGTCATAATAACCCAAGAATATATGTGTAAATATGAACAGACATCATATATATTAAATTATTTTGCAAACATATTCTCTGAGAAAATGGTAAATTTTTCTGGTCCAAATGTTTTACTTTTAGGAAATTTCAAGATCCTGGTCAAGCAAATAAAATATGTCAGCTTTCAATGGACATTTTGCGAAGAGATCAGCAACCATAAGAGGATTACAAGAAATTTGGAGCTAATTATCTCCTTTGATGGGACTTCACCAAAAAATTCAAGCTTTCACGCCTCAGGAACTTTCATTTACGCTTGATGGATGGCAAAATCTTTATACATTTTAAAAATATATTTACTTAAAGGGTACTTATTGCTATTATTTACTTAAACATTTAAAAAATATATTTACTTAAAGACCAATTTGCATTAACTACCGAAGGAGAAATTGGAATACGGTTTGCATTTTTCTCATCACTACTTACGAAATAATAAGCTGCATAGTAATAACATTTTATACAACATAGTAATAACAACATTCTATAGTATACGTATATGTATATAAAGAGCACGAAGCTCACGAAATCTAGATTCACAGCGTTATAAAATATTTTATTTTCCAACATTTAACAAAACTCTTTGCAAGAATTTTCAAACACTCTGAGCTTTCAGAAAAGATTCTGATTTATACGAAGAGCACGAGAATTAAAACTTATAAATGACACAGCTGAACGTGGTGATAAACTCATGTAAGAATATAATGACATATTAACAAAAACTAAGGAGGAAAAGTAATACATATTATAAATTGCTGCCAGAAGTAGAAAACAGTTTCTGGATATAAAAAAAAACATTATTAAAAGATATATAAAATATTTCACCAAACCTGTTAAAAAGGATATTTAAAAATCATGAAGATGCTTCTGTTTTGTTTCCTCTAGGCTCTAAATATTTCTTTTTGATTCTATAACAGTAGTTTTTGTACATACTGTTACGCCGAACTTTTTTCGAGCCCGTTGTACGAGATTCGGAAATCGTCCGGCACCAGATCTTGCAGATGTAAAGGTCGAAGGCCCGGGACAAAAATCAACTTTCCGAACGATTGCGCAAGATCGGAAGCTCGGTGACGATGCTGTTCGAAAACCTACGATACGCGGCACGAACTCTGTAGTGTCCCAGAAGGCCGACGTTTGCCTGAATAGACCGAGAAGTCCAGCATTTGACGGGAAGATTGTGGAGACGTTCCCTGCGACGGAAAGTAGCCTCGCGTAATAGACAGAAAGTCGCGTGCGGTTGTAAACAGATCTTCAATCGATTATAATTTCGGTCCAGAGAATCGTACAAGCTACCACGCGCGAGGGATTTCGGATTGTTTGACCCGTAGGCGGTTGTTGGGTCTGATCCGCTCCCATGCTTATTCCCTTCGATTCCCCAGATTGAATTCCGTAATTTGTATAATACTCTACAAAACAGTTGCGAAATGACCCTAGGTTCGAGGCGCGATATTCTAGGCAGTTTACCCTTCCTAATTTCGCAAACTCTCCCTGATGCCGCCTTTTCAGGAACGTGGTTTTCCGGTCTGTTGAGCTCTGGGGTCCCCAGAAATCGTTCTAAGGTTTTCGCCCTCGCTGGGTACGTCGATTAATCGGGTCCTTCTTTCGCCTCCTTGAAATCGGCGAGGTTCCATTGGATCTCATAGTGACGCAGAAGGATCAAGTCCCTACTGTCCGTTCTCTCCTTTGCTCTAAATCGCCGTCCCTGATAAAAATTCCGAACGGAGGTTTTGGGATGGTCCAAGCCGTGGTTACAATTGTCCCCTTTGTCAGATTCAGTAGCGTCAACCACCAGTATCCGGACATCCTGCGCACAGTGGGTTGGATCGTGAAATTCAGTGAAATTCTGTTATAACTTTTCAACCATTAAATATCAATCAGTAGATTTCAACCGTTAAATATTTTTTGCATTTGTTAAACAATAATTTTTATTGGCATTTTTTATGAAAAAGAAAATTTTTTGTTTCAATATAATATTACAAACTATTTTTTACCTTCTAAATATGTATTTCATATTTATGTTTCATACATGTAATGTTTTGTAAAATATGTAAAATATGAATTCGAGAAACATTTTTGTAATCAATGCGTACAAAAATTACTGAAAAATTAAAAATGCATCATGAGTGAGTCAAAAAATATTTTTTATAATAATTGATAATAATTATAACATTTTAATGGTGCATCCTAATATGATGTATAGGGTGTCACAAAAATGTCTCGCAATCCGGAAATGAGGGTGAAGGTTTAAGGTGGTCGAGTTAGCGAGCGAAACCCGACTTCGTTCAGAAGCGCGTCGATAGGAGGGGTTACGCTCAGGGTTCGGACCGCGTTCGAAGCAATGAACAAGTCACAGAGCGTGAATTTTCCGATTTGTTTTTTACTATGTGGCAGTGATAATTTTAATAAAAACACTATTTATCCTTATTTTAGAATGTCTGAAGAATATTTAGTAATTTTTCGGACCCGAAATAATAAGTAGTTTAACTGTGACAGCCGTTTTAATTTTCTGGTGTGCATGACACTTTATGTGTGCTACATGAAATTTCTATGCGGTGTGTACAGTGAAGATTCACAATAAATAACCCCGTCGAAGTACGCAAATGATATTTTAATTTAAATAATCCCGGGTCCGAACAGAATTCAACGAATAATTTGCAAAGCTATTTTATGTGAGAAATGTGAAAAATATTATTAATAAGAAACTCTCACCTATTTAGTGGTAAATCCACTTCATGATTGGAAATATGTGTCAGAAAAATGCATGATGAACTTGCACAGCTGATCTGTACATGACGGTGACGAACAGAAGAATATCTCTGGGCAGGTTATTCTAACGTTCCTTTTCACTGCACTATCACTAAACATTGATTATTTGTTCGATAATAATTATGGACGAACTTTCATGGGTTAACATGTGTGGCTCTGAAAAGTGCCAATTTTTCTATCAGATGCGTTCGAAATTTGCACCGTTAGCAACACATACTGCTACCTTGACATGTTTTGTAATGTTCTCCTGAACCCTTTGCAGCATCCTTGGAGTAAACGCGTTGCTGTTGTTCGCACCGTACAAGAATAATTACGTCCTTTCCATATTAATGCTCGGGACGAATTGCAGAAGATACAATGTTTTGTAGCGCAGAAATTCTAGCCTTTCTGAGTGCGTGTCGTAAGCGGCCAGGTCTCAAGAACTGGTCGTAAAAGTGACGAAATTCAGATCCTGGGCCTAGTCGCTTGAAAGTCCTCATAAGCGACGACTTTGCTGAGCTGTTTTCTTGGAGATAATTCTCCTTCCGGTTTGAAGGATAGAGAATTTTGTCACTCCTTAACAATTCAGAAAGTCGTCGATTAGGACAACTGTAGATCCCTTGCCAGATGGAGAAAAAGCGTTGAACGATACAGATCATATAGCAGACGTATCGCCGCAATATTTTCTTTCGTTGAGAATCTTTATCGTCGTTGTTTCATTATTGTTATTTTCCTTCGTTACTGTAGCTATCGTGTTCTCGTTGTTTAATTTATTCGTTGTTAATGTTTTACAAATACAGTAATCTTTTCCAGAAATGTTCGGAAGTCGGATTTGAAACCGACAGATCTGAGAATACTAAGTCGCAATTCTTCAAGCCTCACGGCTCGTTTTTATAGAAACTCGGGGCAGTCGGCAAAAAAGGCAGCAGTCCCCATGTCGGTGTACATTAATACGAATGCTAGGATGAAAACGCGAGTAATGCTAAGAATAAAAACGATGCCAGAGCATCTTGTATTGTCTTCTGGGAAATCGCGTTGCGTACCGCATTACACACTTGATCGACTCCGTCGATCTTTAGTATCGACGTAGAACTATTCTAACTAAACCCAAACAATAAATTACATATATGTAGAACTAGAACAGGAAAATTCACATCAACTCGAAATTTGGCATTAACGAGAGAAAAATTACTGTATTTGTTATATTACACGTACTGCACGGACACTTATTATTCACCCACCTTTACCTACAGCTTCGTTTTCCTACAAGCGAATTCCAACTGTCCTTCATCGAACGTGAAACATTGTTGCCCATCCTGCAATATTTCACAATTCCTTCCACGCATTATGTTATAATATTCGTAATTATTCTTGTACGGTGCGAACAACAGCAACGCGTTTACTCCAAGGATGCTGCAAAGGGTTCAGGAGAACATTACAAAGGCAGCAGTGTGTGTCGCTGTGTGGTGTGTGTCGGTGTGTGTCTCGAACTTCGAACGCGTCTGATAGAAAAATTGGCACTTTTCAGGGCCACACATGCTAACCCATGAAAGTTCGTCTATAATTATTAACGAACAAATAATCAATGTTTAGTGATAGTGCAGTGAAAGGGAACGTTAGAATAACCTGCCCGGAGATATTCTTCTGTTCGTCACCGTCATGTACAGTTCAGCTGTGCAGTTCATCATGCATTTTTCTGACACATATTCCCAATCATGAAGTGGATTTACCACTAAATAGGTGAGAGTTTCTTATTAATAATATTTTTCACATTTCTCACATAAAATAGCTTTGCAAATTATTCGTTGAATTCTGTTCGGACCCGGAATTATTTAAATTAAAATATCATTTGCGTACTTCGACGGGGTTATTTATTGTGAATCTTCACTGTACACACCGCATAAAAATTTCATGTAGCACACATAAAGTGTCATGCACACCAGAAAATTAAAACGGCTGTCACAGTTAAACTACTTATTATTTCGGGTCCGAAAAATTACTAAATATTCTTCAGACATTCTAAAATAAGGATAAATAGTGTTTTTATTAAAATTATCACTGCCACATAGTAAAAAACAAATCGGAATATTCACGCTCTGTGACTTGTTCATTGCTTCGAACGCGGTCCGAACCTTGAGCGTAGCCTTCGTCTTCCGTCGCGCCCCGGAGCGAAGTATCTGATCAATATATTAAAAAAATTTGTTATAAAAAATTTGAAATAAAAAAGTTAAGTCATCGTTTTTATTCTAGCATCTCTCACGAGATGTCTAATAATATAAAGGAAAGCCGCGGAGCACCAAGAATTATGACTGAGTCGATGTCCATTTTCAACTCAGAGCTCCGGGACTACTATGGAGAATTTGCTGTATCACATTTTCCAATGAGATACCTACGCTCCACCAAGGAACCAGGGTCAGTAGCTGATACCTGTCGCTAATTGTATTATATATTATATTGATAATCAACACCAGCATCAACATCGGACCAGTGACGAGGGCACAATTTTTGCCTATTTTGGAAGAAGATTCAGATCGGAGGAAAAGCATTTAACCTTCGATCAACTTACCGCACTGATGACCACAGCCGAGACAATTCTCCAGTCCAATCAACCTTTACTCAGGAACCAAGAAGATCAACCTCCGTGCCCCTTCCGTAAATATGAATTTAAAAACAAATTTTATATTCCCTCCTACATAAAAATTTATAATAACCCATTATTACTAACATTATATTTTCGATAACTATATTTGTTGTATTTAATATTTACATAAGATCTTTTATATTTATACTAATGTCGTTCTCTATTAGTCTTAAGTACTCCTTATTTAACTATTATTCAATCATTTCTCCGTCAATATCTCTTATTTACCATCTATAGATTACTATATACAAATTATTACTATAAGCGGATAATTGTTAAATAATTATAAGCAGAATGAACCACTAACAGCTACCCTATCTCTATAGCATAGTTCCGAATAACCATAGAGTCTAATTAATTTACGTTTAAGAATTTGTAAATATTAATCTTAAGGAGGGGGTGTCAGATACTGCAACGGTTTCCCGTGCATTACAAGTTGTATCGCCCTTTATAATATATTTCAAGGGTATTGAAATAGAATTTGGTGTAGGCTTTCGACAACTTCACCCTAAAGAAGAAAAGAAAGAAAATAGGACGCGAACCAAGTTGAATTAAATTAATAATTTAATAAAATGGTAATTGCTTACTTTACAGTGATTACAGTGATTCTGAAATATGTTATAGAAGACGAGATTCTGAACAACTTTTTCCTATAGATATAACCGCCGCTCGACTTTTGTTTCCGAGATATTTGCAAAATTCCTTCTATGCTACTACATTGAATTCTGCCTATGTACGCACACGTCCGTAGCAACGTATGAGTCAACGTTGGTCCGCCGTTTATCTGCTGTACTATAAACAGAAGACGAGGGTTATTTGAAACTTTTCTTTCTCATTAGGTTATGTCAAAGTTTTGTCAAATGTTGTCTTCTATAACATATTTTGGTATCAACAAAATCGGAGTTGAGGTCGCTAAAGTAAATAATTACCAATAAAATAAATCATAAAGCATAGTATTAATCAATGAATAATACTAAATCGATACAATAAATGAATGTAAAAGAAACTAAACTTAAAAAAATTAACTCAAAAGAAAAAAAAAGACAATAAACAAAATTTTGATAACAACGACCAAATAGCCAAGGAATAAATAATAAAACTAACCGCGATACAAACTTGAATCCCTAACTGCTAATAATGAAAAAACAAAAGAATAATAAAGAAAAATCATCAAAGAAAATTAACGATAGACGATGAAAACGAAAAAAGATTTAAAAAAATATAACCTAATCGTAATAAAAATAAATAAAAAAAATTATCGTCACAATATATAATAAAACAATATATGAAATAAATAATACAATAAAATCAATAGGAAATCAGCAATAAAAATCAAAACAAAATCCAAAATGAAACACAAATGAGTAGAAAATCCATATTAATATCGATCGCAGAAGTCGAAAATGTGTTCTTGGAATCTCGCACGATATGTAATTTCATTATCGCATAAGCAACGCACGATATTCCCAATCGTCCCAAGTGCGAGAGACACGGCAAAACAACACGGGTCGAACAACAAGGACAGAGCTAATTCTCCACGGCAACCGATCGTTCGAAATGTAAGCGCTCCTCGGGAACGTACGATACGCATTACGAAAACGAAACTAATTTTCGGATCCCTAAAACGGATCTTATTGCCCAAGTTAATTTTTAAATGACTTTTCAACCAACCTCACGGTTACCGAATTCCAACTGTCCACCTGCCTTGCACGTTCGATTCCGCGTTCTTCCCCAGGGAGACAAAAATCACATGTAATAAACAATACAAATAAGTCGATAGACTCGGCGTGGCGCATAATTCTGTGTTCGCACAGATGCTGGATGCTGCAGCCATGCAGGAAAACGAAGCATGTTTTCCGATCTCTTCGAAACCGTCTCGACAAAAATTTTACGCGATGCTTCCACAATCTGTCCTCATTTCTTCTAGGGAAAAGCCCTTGAATAGGAATTTCTTCCTACGAGATAGTCCCTATTCGGGCACAAATTTTTTACAGTATCCAGCTCCGGGTCTTGCGAACGCATAGGCTGGAGTGCACGCGGTCGCGCGCGGACAGTTCACCCGGGGCAAAAGTCGACCCTCCGAGAGCTCTGCGCAAGGTCGAAAGCTCGGTGACGATGCTGTTTGAAAATCTACAATACGCGGCACAAACTGCGCAGTGGCCCGGGAAGACCGACGTTTGCCTGAATAGCGACGGGAATGAACCTCGCGTAATAGACAAACAGCCGCGTGCGGTTGTGAACAAATCTTTAATTGATTATCATTTCGATCCAGAGAATCGTACAAGCTACCGCGCGCGGGGGATTTCGAATTGTTTGGCCCGTAGACGGTTGTTGGGTCTCCCCTCGCGTCCCTTGCACCTGCGGCGATTTCCTACACGTCGAAGTCGATCTCGGTGCGATGTTACCGGCCTCGTGAGATTTCCCTTCGATTCCCCAGATCGACCTCCGCCATCCTACGCAGTTTATACTATTCGAAACGGTTGTGAGATGCCCCTAGGTCCGAGACACGATATTCTAAGCCTCGAGATTTCGTCTCGAGAAGCCATGTGCTTCCTAATTTCGCAAACTCTCCCGGGACGCCGCTCACGGTTCGAATTCTATACTCGCGCTAAACGGTAGTTAATAATCGAGCCATCAAAACATGATCGAAGAAATCCTTAAGATACTCACCAAGAATCGTTGCCTTCATTACCAACGCCGTTGTACTGATCCCTGGCCTTCGCTATTTATGATTTCGAACGAGTCCCTTACTGTTTCCGTTACCAGCAAGTCCCTAGACCGCTTCCGGACGTATTTCACTAGTATCACCTGTCACTTAACTCGTAACAATCGTTATCTCAATCACTCGTTACTAATCTCCTCGAAGCATACGCGGCAGTGTCTTCTATTTTCTGGCGACTCGATCAGTCAGAATCTGGGCGTCCCCCACTCCTGGTACACTCAGTTTAGCACAACGCACAGTGATGCGAGCAATGGAAAAAATAAAAAATCAACATTTTTTTATAATATAATCGTAGTCTAGAGTCTTTATTCATACGTAGACAATTAAAAAAAAAAGTAACCCTCAACACCCAGGAAATACGTTAATATGGACAATGAACAACTTGTCTTTGCTTCCACAAGCATTTGCCTGTTATATCGCAATGTTTCTAACATCGAGTTATTCAAAGTACGCGACAATAAATATTAAATATGGATGGATTATTCAATTGAAGGTATTAAACACTTGTTACTTTGATTGTGAAATGGTTTAATTACTTATCGTATATTCAGTTTTATTGTCTCAAAGTTACACATCCATTGAGGACCTAATATACATATATGTTTGATTATCTTTAACCTAACTTTTCTCGAAAATGGTAAAACATGTATTGGGATTCCTACGGAAAACTATTCCTTGAACAGTCTTCGACATTATTATACAAAATTTTCTTGTAGTGGGCTGCATTTTTAATTGAAATTGTAGTTAATGATTCGACAAATTTATTATTCAGAGTCGATGTTTTTAACGCGTTTACTTGATAAAGGCTCGGTGTGAACTGTTTCCAATATTGGTTCGCCTTTGTCAAAAAAACGAATAAACGTCGAAATGTATAAAACAATCTTCTTATCAATCGCATCCCATAGTTGACACGACGCAACGCATTCTATAGTTCGGCCAATTCTGATCATGGTAACCATCCTCAGTCACCAAAGAATTCCAATTTTATTTACAAGAGTTGCATCTTTAAAAACAAAAGAATTACAATTCGTATTATACAAAACATACGAAACGTAACAACGAAATAATAAAAAACACACGCAATGCAAACAAACACACACAAACTCAAACTTATTCAGTATGCGGTACCATTTTAGTTTTCCGTCACCGACCTGACCAAATGTTTCATTTAGTTTGAGCCACCAACTCCTGTGTAAGATACGCAAGAAACTTGAAATCTTTTTGCATTTGTTACGTATATCTGTCTCTATCCAATATCTTTTTAATTTCATAGAGGCCCTTAAATTTAGGCAACAGTTTTTTATTTATATCTGATGTGGTATCTGTATTATGAATCACTACATAATTAGCACTACATGAAAGCATGTTCATTCCCTTGTTGAGTTTTTAAAATTTTCTCAGCCGCTTCCTAGCGTTTAATCGATAAGTTTCTTGTATTATTATTTAATAACTTAACGCTTCTCGCAAATTATCCGATACCGTTCCTTTTTTATTTATATCAAATAATAATTGGGGCGGACGCTTTTCGGTTGATCGACAAACAATGTTGTTAATAATAAATTCAATCGAATCCACAATTCGTTCCCATTTACCTGGAGATACCGTAAGTTTTCTAAACATTGACGCTATAACTCTATTGAAACATTCAACCTGACCATTCGCACGCGGAGTACCTACCGCGATTAATATTTGCTCTATCTCATTACTTGCTAAAAACTCCTTGAATAAATTTGATGTAGATGATATGTCTCTGTCACTAATTAGCCGTTTTGGTTTACTATACCCTTTAAAGTACTCGGTCAAATTTCGAATCATTTCTTCAGATTTTGTCGATTTACAAGCATACAGTCTAACGAATTTGGTAAACCTATCCATTACTGTCAAAATATATTTAAAACCTTTTCTACATTTCTCCAGGGGGCCGTAATGGTCCACATGAATTGTTTGAAATGGTAGATCACCCTTAGGTAAGCTATGCAAAAATCCCTCCTGTTTACCACTAATTGGCGAAAATTCAATATATTTCAAACAATTGTTAATATATTGTCTAATTTTCTGTTGCATTTGTGGAAACCAGTATTGGTGTTGATTACGCATAGCTACGACCCTGTCGGACAGAGAGAAGCGAGCAGCGAAGCACATGGCGGCAAAACGTCGTGTACACGTTGCCGACGAACATTTTCTCGATCTACTCGAAATGTACATCGTTCCGACACTTTTACCAGGCCGTTTCCTCTTAAGAAATGGCTACAGAATCCGATCCTGGGTAGAGTTTTTGTGCAGGATAAACAACTTTTCGTAAAAGTACAAAAATATTGCGCAGAAACTGCGCGCGTCGACACTTTTTTAAATTTTGACATTAATTTATAGTTACTTAGGACCAAAAATAATTAATAAATTGGATGCCACTATATTCGGGAAACTCTTTCCTCTATCTTTTGAGACCGATTAGGATTTTCTAACGTTTTTACTTTTCATGCAATACCTCATTTTTGTCGAAAATTTTGGGTTTTTACAAAAGCACGTTTTTTTCGAAAACCGAGAATGATGGAGCAATTCGGTTTTCGGGTCCTTGATCGGGGAGTGAAGCTCTACAGGAATTTCATAGTGGCTATAGGAACTCAAAAATCGTATTGTAATCGGTAAAACAAACGAAGTCTCCGGACGATGAAGCTGAACCAAGTGCGCCGACGTCCCTAGTGGTGTCGTCGAAAATGACATTGATACAGCTGCCTGCCGCTGCTGTCATATCTGTGGACAATCCTTCGCTTGGTGCGACTTTTCAGTACACATGAAACAGGAACCCCATTTTCGTCTTGGCATCGTGCAGTCTCTCTTCCAATGTCCTGTCTCGTTGCAATTGAAACAACGCATAACCTTTCCCTGCGCGAAGTCCCTCGTTGTAACTAATCTCTCCGGCGACACCAATCGCTTTAGATCTCTGAACTCCCGATTGCTCCTCAAAGACACCTTCCCAAAAACATCCAGTAGATCATCCGCCGTCTCCAATTGCTGCATACGCGCCTGATCCCTGAGTTGCGGCTCCGGTACTCCATCGCGATCAACAAATCTATCAATACTTCTGGATCAATTAAAATCACGTCCTAGAACAAAACGAGACATTCTTGAGAAATGGGTTTGTTCGTTACCCAATGACAAAAAATGGATGTGTTTCGTTTAATTCAGAACACATTCGATTTAAACGATTGCGCAGAAGTTTGCAAAGGTTTAGAAAAATTTCGCAGGCTTCTATGTGTATATATTAACAATAGATTGAAGCACATTCGAATAGAGATTGAATACTTGTCAATATCTTATGAACAATATGTTACTGATGTCTGATTTTTGCAAATATTTTCGTACATAATTTCTTATCATTTATTAACCTGTTACATTGAAATATTTGTTACTTGTTTATGTATTATGTTCAAATATGTGTCACTTACGTATGTAACATAACAGATTTTTATCTATCGTGTCTATATATACAGGGTGTTCCAAAAATGTCTCGCAATACAGAAATGTGGGGTAGCTGAGATCATCCTAAGTAACTTTTTCCTTTGCGAAAATGCAACCTGCGGCTTTGTTTACGAGTTATTAGCGAAAAGCACTGGTCAATGAGAGCAGCACGAGGCTTTGACAGAAGGTCGGGTCGGACTCGTGCCGTATTCAACGTATTGAACAAGTCACGAAGCGTGAACTTTCCGGATTTTTTTCTACTACGTAAAAGTGATATTTTTAAGAAAAACGCTATTCACCTTTACTTTAGAACGTCTGAAGAATATTCACTAATTTTTCGGACTCGAAATAATATGTAGTTTAACCGTGACAGCCGTTTTAATTTTCTGGTGTGCATGACACCTCGTGTGTACCATATGAAATTTTTATGCAAGGTGTACAGTGAAGATTAACAAAGTTCGTAAATGATATTTTCATTTAAATAATTCCGTGTCCGAACAGAATTCAACGAATGATTTGCAAAGCTGATTTAATACTAAATAATCGCATTAAGGTACGTAAAGGATTTGTTTATTAGAGAAATATGAAAAATATTATCAATAAGAAACTCACCCATTTAGTTGAGGATGCATTTGTTGACTCGTACGCACTGACCTCGTACAACGAACAGCTGATCCCAGGTCGATGACCGCAACATTCAAGGGATACTGTCGGAGGAACCTCTGGTATGATTATTTGCAAAGTTCACTTACACTGCACTGTCACCAAACACTGGTCACTTAATTAATTTAATGGTAATTTAATTAATTTAATTAATTAATGTAATTTGTGGTCCTTGTACAAGTATGTTTGAGAAAAAACTCATTGATCATTGATGTATGGGATGCTATCTCATTATTATTAGAGAATATACCGAAATGTACCAAACGATTACGTTGTTTCTTAACTTTTATCAGTAAGTGTCTAGTCTCGACCATCTTTCATTGATATCCACCCCGGGTTTTGCGTCTTCGCATTATTTGATCTCCCAATCGCCTATGTAATCGTCACTCGCTTCCTGTTTGCTTATGTTTTTATTTTCATCAGAAATATTTGTCCAAACTATATCATGTTCGGCCTCATTTTAATTAAATATAGTAATATGTTAAAAAAATCATTTTTAAAATGTTAAAATCAAAAAACATTATGAGTTGTCTCCTGTATTACGTGCTGCAGGCACATGTGTTCACTGACTCTGTCGAACCTTACCATCGGTGTTACGAGAAAATCGATCAATTTCAGTGGCAATAATAAATTGCCGTAGCAATATCACAGTGTAAATCCCGGCATACTGAAAATCGACAAATTCCGGAGAAAATACAGGATGCATCTCGCCACCGTGCTTCCATTTTGTGTTTAATCGTAAAATCGTCAAAATTCATAATTTTAATTTCAATTCTTCAAACGCCGCTGTCTCCTTGGACCCCAACTCAAGTTCGATTTGGTCTCATAGCAAATTGCTTAACGGCCTCACGATGGACGAATATTCCTTTATAAATTTTCAGAAGTATCTCGTTAACCTCAAGAAATACTCTGAACTTGTTTAATTGTTGTCGGTTTTTGGAACTTGGCAACAGCTTGCGTTTTCCGCTTGGACAGTGGAATGTTGAAATTTTCGATTATGTGACCCAAAAACTCTA